GTGTGTGTAAGGTGATCAGTAATGTTGAAGACCGGGACAGCCATATTTCCTCTGTAAGTAGCTGTTTTATTGTTTTGTGTACTTATTTTATTCTTATTTAAGTAGTAAGTGCACAAAATAATGAATTTCCTTTTTTTATATCTTCTTTTTGTAGGTCATTCTTTTGGGCAAAGAATTCAGTGACATCGACTTGGTCATTCCCACCCAGTCACATGACTGCCAAGCTACTCCCACCCGGTCACATGACTGCCAAGCTGCTCCCACTCAGTCACATGACTGCCAAGCTACTCCCACCCGGTCACATGATCACCGAGCCACTCCCACCCGGTCACATCCACTCCCACAAAACAGGCCAAACCTACAGAATAGGTTCTAAAAAATTTGAAACCCATCACACTCCCATGCCCATCATCCCTGCCCTCTCCCTTCCCCCTTCCATGCCCTCCTAGATAGATAGATGATAGATAGATAGGTAGACAGACAGACAAACAGACAGATGGATATGTGGTCCCAGAAAGATAATTAACATATACTCATGCAACTTACTTTTGCAACCCAACCCAAGATCACTAAATATTTTACCTTTTGTCCAACCCCCCTACCAAAGGATGCCCCTTGTGGAGTACTGTGAGCCCTGCAAGAGCAACTTCTCCCTGAGCCCTGATTTCTGTGACAATTAAATTAGTTTAAAATGTTTTCCCTGTGTCCCCAGTGGCGTAATTTCTAATTTTTATTTTCCCCTTACTAGAGGGAGCCCTCTTGTGGAGTACTGTGAAGTACCATGGCAACTCCACTGCACTGTACAGTAGAAGCCATTTTACAGCAGTACAGTAGAAGCCATTTAAAGGCACAACAGGCTTTCTTTTCTCTCACTCTCTTTTATATGACAAAACGAAAGTAATGACAAGAAAAAATGTTGAATAATGAGACTATAATATAAGTATGCATTATTATTAGAAATATATAAACGGATTGAACACAAGGATTATGATTAACTTGATTTATTTGTGTTAGAATATATGACACTCAGGTGCCACACTATTCATGCATTGAATTGACATTTTGATAAAAAAAAATATAAAAATAAAAAACTTGAAACATAAAAAAAGGCACAACATGCTGCATCTTAACAGAACACACACACTCTTGAGGGGTGCTGGGGTGTCTTACCCTCACAGTATTTTTCTCCAGAGAGTAAGTCATCTGTGTACCAAGTTTGGTTGAAATTGCTCAAGGCGTTCCAGAGTAACGCTGGAACGAACATACATACATACATACATACATACATACATACATACATACATACATACATACATACATACATACATACAGCCTTTTTTGTATAGATTGAATTAATTAATTAATTAATTAATTAATACTTTTTATAAATAAATATTAGCCTCATGTCTGAAGAATAAAAATCTCTTTATATCTTTTACTTATAATAAAAATAAGATTTCAACTTGCCTTTNGCCTGCAGTGCTGCATTTAACCACTGCGCCACCTCAGCTCTTACACTGAAACAGGCTGTTTGCTGTTTGCTGCAAGGAGGTAAGTCAATAACTACCGTATTTCCCTGAAAATAAGACAGGGTCTTATTTGCTTTTGACCGCCCCCCAAAATGTTGCTTGGGCCTTATTATCTGGGGGGCTTATTGGTTTGGGGTTGCCAGGTGGCTGCTCTCTTGCGAATGGGGGCCTGAAGAGCCAGGCACAGTGGCAAACACAGGGGCAAACAGCTGTGTTGTGCTATCGCAGCAGCGCATCACAGAAGCCATGAGGTGATGACATTCACAAGCAGCCGCCAGGCAACCCCCCCCCCCCACTTTCTAGCCAGGCAGAGCACCACTCACCGACCCAGTAATATCCCAAAGCCGCGTGCTGCTCTGCCCGGCTGGAAAGGGAGGTTGTGCGAGTGCCTGTTCCACCCCAGCTCGCATTGGGGGGGGGGGGAGATGTAATGCAAAAAGGCACAAACTGAAGTGATGAAATTTACAAGCAGGCTTGAGACCAATTGGTTAAGGGTATAGTTAATGCTGAGAAATACAAAGGCAGGAGAAGAAAAAACAGTAGGAAACTTCAGTTCACCACAAACAAGCAGAGCCCAAGTCCTAAAAAGATAACGTAAGGGAACTTGTAGGAAGACAGTTATGAGAAAAGTATTTACTATAGTAGTAGTATTTCTGTAAGGTGTAGTTGTTCTTCCAAAAACCTATATCCATTGGAAAATGAAAAGCAGAATAATTTGGCTTATAGGGAAGAATTTAGTTAATAATGTTATAATACCCATGTTTTAATTGAAGTTTTTCAGTCTTTCAATCAACACAATTCTCATTCTTTCTCTCAAACCAAAATATATTTTTAGTAACAATGACAGACGTGTATACAATCTCATCCCACCTTACTTTGTTCAGTATTTTATTCAACCAAATTTATATTTCATTTTTCAGATTTTTTAATCTTATTATGCCGTATTCCATAGTCCATAGAACAGTTTTGATGTATGGCTTAACATATTATTACTAATATATTAATTCTAGTTGGTAACCCGGTGTTGCCTGGGCATTTATAGACATCGAAGCGTTTGTCTGACAGGGAGCTATTGAGATGGGCCTTTCTTTCCCCTACTCCCATGCCAGGGGTGGGTTTCAACAGGTATGGACCGGTATGGCCGCACCGGATGGAGAAATTTAGCGTGCCTTCCGGTACCAGTTGATCAGGAGGCCCCGTACCGGAAAGCTATTTCCCCTCGTTCTTCACTCGCCCCGCCCATCCTCACCATGCTGCCGAAAAGTTCTCAGAAGAACCAGAAGAAGAAAAAACTGGTGAGTGGCTGGGGTGGGGGAGGAGGATGTTGGGGAAGAGGGAAGAGGCAGAGGGGCTGTTAGAAGAGTGTGTGCGTGTGCACAGGCTGTGAGTTTTAAAAAACATCTGAGTGAATCCAGGAAGAGGCAGAGGGGCTGGAAGATACTATAGGAACACACTCTTCCAGCCTCTCTGCCTCTTCCCTCTTCCTGGATTCACTCAGATGTTTTTTAAAACCCACAGCCTGTGCACACGCACACACTCTTCTAATAGCCCCTCTGCCTCTTCCCTCTTCCCCAACATCCTCCTCCCCCATTACTCAGATGTTTTTAAAAGTTATAGCCTGTGCACACACACACTTCCAGCCCCTCTGCCCCTTCCCACTTCCTGTATTTACTCAGTCATTTTTAAAACTCACAGCCTGTGCACACAAAAGATGTTTTTAAAACTCACAGCCTGTGCACACGCACACATTCTTCCACTTTTTAAAAAACATCTGAGTGAATCCAGGAAGAGGGAAGAAGCAGAGGGGCTGGAAGAGTGTGTGCTGTGCGCAGGCTGTGAGTTTTAAAAATGTCTGAGTGAATCCAGGAAGAGAGAAGAGGCAGAGGGGCTAGAAGTATGTGCGCTGTGCAGGGCATGTGAGTCTTAAAAACGTCTGAGTGAATCCAGGAAGAGGGAAGAGGCAGAGGGGCTGGGAGTGTGTGTGCTGTGCACAGGCTGTGGGTTTTAAAAATGTCTTGTGTGTGCACAGGCTTTGAGTTTATAAAACTTTGAGTGAATCCAGGAAGAGAGAAGAGGCAGAGGGGCTAGAAGTATGTGCGCTGTGCAGGGCATGTGAGTCTTAAAAACGTCTGAGTGAATCCAGGAAGAGGGAAGAGGCAGAGGGGCTGGGAGTGTGTGTGCTGTGCACAGGCTGTGGGTTTTAAAAATGTCTGAGTGAATCCAGGATAAGGGAAGAGACAAAGGGGCTGGAAGAGTGTGTGCTGTGCACAGGCCATGAGTTTTTAA